GGCAAGTGGGGTGCTGACCAAGAGCATGGTGGTGGCAGTGGCAGACATCGAGATGGCAGTGAACAAAGTGGCCAAGTGGAGCCCAGAGCCTCTTCTTCACTTTTGAGGATAGTTTTTATGGATATAAAATTCTTGGTTGATTTTTTTTTTTTTTTTTGGCATTTTACTATATCAACCCACTGCCTTCTGAGTTTCATGGTTTCTGCTGGAAAATAATCTGTTACTTTTATTAATGAATGCTTGTATAAAAAGTTGCTTCTCTCTTTGTTTTGACTTTTGACAGTTTGCTTATAATGTGCTTGAGTGTGGATCTCTGTGTTTACCTCCTTGGTATTTGTTGAGCTTCTTGGATGTGTGGATTCATGTATTTTATCAAATTTGGGTAGTTCTGGCTATTATATCTTCAAATGTTCCCTTTTTGGCTGGGGGGTAAACTGGGGATTGAACCCGGGGGGCACTGGGCCATTGAGCCACATCCCCAGCCCTATTTTATTTACAGACAGGGTCTCATTGAGTTGCTTAGTGCCTCGCTTTTGCTGAGGCTGGTTTTGAACTTTCGATCCTCCTGTCTCAGCCTCCTGAGCTGCTGGGTGATAGACTCAGCCTGATTTTCTCTTAAAATTGGGAGCCATCTCGCCACAAAGCCATGAAAAGATAATTTCAGCTTTACTATAAGCTACTGCAAATTCTGAACCTGCTTGGAATGCCTGCCTGTGCCTTGAACTCACCCATGCCTGGCTCTCTGACCAGATAGCAGCCCTCTCTAAACTTTAGTGACCCCTCACAAATCTTGGCCTTCCCTTGCCAGATAACGACCCTCTCTAGAGTCTGAGGCTCTAATGACCTTCATAAATTCTGATGTCGGGGCCAGCAAAATGTAAACTACCATTTGTGTTATGCTCGTCAGAGTTTTGTCATCTGTAACCCGCCTTTGTATAACTTTCTGGGCTATAAAGCAGGGCTGCAAGAAAGCTGTGGGGCTGTCTTGTTCCCTCGGTTTTTGTGGGGAGAGGCAGCCCGGCCGGTTGAAATAATAAGCTTGCTTTAATTTGATTTTAATTGGAGTAAGTGGTCTTTTCTTGTGTCCTGGTCCAACACTGGGATTTCAGGTGTGGCCCAATAGCTCTTACTCACTTTTTTAGCATTTCTTTGGAGGGATGGGCACTTACAGCCTATTCATATTTAGCCTTGTGGAACCAGTTTCCTCTTCTTAAAATTGGGATAGTAGTTGAAGGATATGGAAAATAAGTCCAAGGACATCTTCCCTAAGCTTTTGTCATTTAAAATCCCAGACCCAGGCGTAGTGGCACACTCCTGTAAGCCTGTAATCCCAGCAGCTCAGGAGGCTGAGGAAGGGATCATGAGTCCAAAGCCAACCTGAGCAAAAAGCAAGGCACTAAGCTATCAGTGAGACCCTGTTTCTAAATAAAGTACAAAAAAGGGCTGGGGATGAGGCTCAGTGGTTGAGTGCCCCTGAGTTCAATCCCCAGTACTCAAAAAATAAAATAAAGTCCCAGGCCTCAGCTAAAGTGCAGGAACACAAAAGGAACTCGACCTGACTGGCACCTGACCCCTCACCCTAAAGGGTCAGCTGACCCCAGTACAATAACCCCCAGGAAACTCCCTATTCACATTCCTGTCCCACCCTAATGGATCAGCAAGACCCCAATACAACGGACCCCAGGAACTGCCCTCCTGTCCCACCCTAAATGAAGCCTATATAAACCAGACCCTTGCTTCTGCCTGACGCCACTTTCTGCCCTGAAAATGAGACTCACAAGGTTCCACCAATTGACTCTGCAGCTGAATCTTGAATAAAGAAAAGCTTGAGGTTTGCTTCCCTTCTCCCAAATAAGATGTTGTTTCCAGCTAAAACTTAAAAAGAAATATTAAGAGAGAGAGAGAGAGAGAGAGAGAGAGAGAGAGAGAGAGAGAGAGAGAGAGAGAGAAACCCTGAGGAGAAAGAAAGAGCAGAACAGGATGCCAATTGGCTCCATCTTGATATCATGGCAACTCCAATGACTGCAAAGCAGGGCCCTGTTCTGTCATGCCAAAGATGGCCCCTGTGACCTGTTCCTTCTAATGTACCAGTGGCCTCAAGACCCATACCTCTCCCCTTTGCATTGTGGCTTCATTCTCCCAAGAGAGAGGAGGAGATTGGTTCCTCTCACCAGGAAAGCTGGACCAGGCTACCTCACAGGCTGCCAGTCAGCCAATGGGTGGCTTCTCTGGCTCAGAACTCACCCCTGGTCCAATCAGCTGAGAGAGGCCATTCTCATTCAAACCTGGGACGGAGACTGATGCCGGGAGGCCTGCTGGCAATGTGTAGCATGAGCCGAGCTGTGGTGTGAAATGCTTCTTGTGTAGAAGAATTCTAACCAGGGCTCATAACAGAGCAACTTGAGGGTGAGGACTGCACTTCAATGTCCGAGTCCCTTCACTGAGTGGCTCCATCCCCTCCTCAGAGACCCCTCCAAGGATTTGCTGATGGAAACTGGCTGCTCTAAGGGAGTCTCAGACTATTGGCAAAGCCATATCAGGACCTGGGAGGTGGCAATACCTGGGGACTCGACATCAGGAGAGGGACAAACAGGTGTAGCCCATCAGCCCAAAACTTAGAAGGAAAACTTGGGCTGGGTCTAGGGGAAAGAGGACGGGAAGATGGAATTCCAGGTTGTGAAGGATGCCTGTGGTGTGATTGTGCTCTTTCTGGGGCCCATCCTCCACTGCTCAGCCCTACCTTGGTCTTGGTCCAGGTGTTGGGTGACCTCTGTGGTTTTCATGGATCTGCCTGGCATGCCAGAGCGGGTTGCCTTCTTCCCTGCTTATCTCAGAGGGTACAGCTAAGCCTAGTACTCTTTACCAAAGACTCTGGGGACTCCAGCTCCTGTTTTCCCCGGGATCATGAGTCTGAGCTCTAGCTATGACCTCATTCCAGGATTCCACACTTGAGTATCAAATGTCCACTGCTTCTAAATAAAGGACTGAATTTGAACCCAGGACACCTGACCAGCCTATGTGCACTTAACCATGGGACTAAATGGCCTCTGTAGGGGCAGCTGCTCTCCTGTGTCCATCCTCCTCTCTGCAAGTTGCTGCTCAGGCCTCATCTCTGCCTCCCTGGGCTGCAGAAATAGCCTCAGCCAAGGACTGCAGAAATAGCCTCAGCCAAGGACTGCAGGAATAGCCTCAGACAAGGACTCTCCTTGTCCCTTTTCTGTGATTCACTGTCCACATGCAGCCACCGGGGAGTCGTTCCAGTAGAGGGCTTCAGGGTTGCTTTTCCTTGATTGAAATACGAAGTTCAGATGCTCTGACTTTGTACAAAAGGCCCTTCATCCTCTCTCCTAACCCTCCCTCACCCCCTAGGAACCATCATCAGAAGTCCCCACAGTGTACTCCATGCTCACGCCTCCCACCTAGCACCCCTGATGGAGGTGCCCCTACTCCACCTCAGTAACTCACCCCTCAGTGCCCAGCTGGAAAACACTGCCTCCAGAATGCTTGCCCTGACCTCTCAGGTGGGATCCATGGCTCCCTCTCCTGGACTCCTGTATCACACGCTCTCACAGGCCTTAATACAAATTACACTGTTTCCCGTGGCCTTGGCAGTGGGGGCTGCATCCCCCGGATTCCAGGGTCTCCAGACCCAGGGCCTGGCCCAGGGCAGGTGTCTGTGAACAGCGGTCAGAGGAATGAACCCTCACTTGGGGTCTGGCCTGTGGTTTCTGGGCAGGTGCCCCATGCTGTCTCAGCGCCTGATACATGGCAGGTGGGCAGGAAATGCTTGTTCTTTTCTGGGCTGGGCAGTTGGTGCAGACGTGTGAAGATGAAGCCAGCACTTCATTCTGAGAACTGGCTGTGTGGTCAAAGCCCTTTGGGGGCTGACTGCCTCTCTCAGGATACATTTCTAAGGAGAAGCCCTGGCCTGGCAGAGGACGCAGATGAGAGCCAGGGCTAATGGCAGGGGACAGCTTCCGTCCAGCAGGTGCTCCTCTCAGGAGGAAAATACAGGGCTCCTGCTCCTTATAGGGCCAAACACCCTTGTCTGTCATGTGGCTCAGAGGAACCAAAACAGGGATGCATACTAACACCAATCCCTGTCCCTCTCAGGGCTTGTCATTTTACCTGTCAAGTAGGTACAATCATTCCCACCCCACTGAGCTCACTGCGGCCAACTGCACACAGAGCCAGCTGCACTTTGAAAATAAAGACTCCATGAGTGCATCATACAAATGAACAGGTTGTAATTAGACCCAGGAGCCCGGGCAGAGGGAGAAACAGGGCAAAAGCCAGAGTATGTGCTTAGGGCTCCTGTCCCAAGTCCCTTGAGGAAAAGAAGCACGTGCTGGGCAGGAGGGACAGCACCTTCATGGAGGAGGGAGATGGGGGCTGTGTCCCAGCTCTACCATGGGCCGGTCACTTCCCCATGGGACTTGGTTTCCTCACCTGTACAGTAAGGGAGACATAGTCCCTGGCCAGTTCCTTCCAAGGGCTTTAATGAGGCTTAGTGAAGGAGTGGGTGTGGAAGAACTCTTCACAATGGAAAGTCCACTGTATGCAAGCAGGCTAACTGCTCTTCTTGAAGCCAGGCCCGGTTGGGTTCTGGGAAGTGGGGATAGTAAATGTTGGCCAAGAAAAATACTGTATTAACTGGGCATGGTGGCGCAAACCTGTAATCCCAGCTACTTGGGAGCCTGAGGCAGGAGGACCCTCAGCAACTTAACAAGACCCTGTTTCAAAATAAAAAATAAAAACGGCTGGGGACGTAGTTCAATGATGTCTCTGAGTTTAATCCCCAGTACAAAACAAAAACACTGAGGACCAGGTACGGTGGCACCCACCTGTAATTCTAGTGGCTCGGGAGGCTGAGGCAGGAGGATTGTGAGTTCAAAGCCAGCCTCAGCAAAAAGCAAGGTGCTAAGCAACTCAGTGAGACCCTGTCTCTAAATAAATAAAATACAAAATAGGGCTCGGGATGTGGCTCAGTGGCTGAGTGCCCCTGAGTTCAATCCCTGGTACCGAAAAGAAAAAAACAAAACAAAAACAACAACAACAACAACAAAAAACCACTGAGGCTCAGAGCCGGGTCCTTTGAGTACCCTCAGATCCTCACTCAGCACCTCTTCCTTCATGCTCCCTTCAACTTCCCTGGCACCTTTTGCCCTGCGTGGGAGAGAGGACTATTGGGTGGCTGGGGCCCAGGACAAGGAAGAGCCCCTGCTCTGGGTTGGCCCCACCTCCCACTTTGATTGGAGGTCCAGGCTGCATCAGCTGCACCTGCAGCCAGGCCTGCTGGCAGTTCTGCTCCGGGGTCAGCAGGTGGAGGTCTTGATTAACTGATGCAGTCTTGATGGTGGGGGAGGACCTTGGTCTTCACCCTCTTTTCCTTGATTGCCATCTTCTCAATGTGGTCTTCTGTGTGTCTAGATGAAGTCCGTTCTCTGTGAGGCCTAGAATGATCGGTGGTGGATTCTTTCTTGCAGAACCCCAAGTAGCCAGCAGCCAGGGATGGAGAGTGGCTTCTGCTGCCTCCTGCACCTGCAGCCAAGAGCCTGCCCAGCAGAGGCCTGAGCCCAGCCTGTCATCCCTTCTGGGCTGGGTCTCAGCTCCCGGAGATGTGCTGAGAAGAGGGCTGCCAGGAGCCCTGACGGGCCTTTCAGAGCAGTGCCTTGAAGAGGAAGGAGAGGGAGGCTCCGCAGGAGAGTCCCAGGGCCAGGAAGAAGGTCATGAGGGCGCCAGCCACCTCCCTCTCATGTGGCAACACCTGCCTGGAACACAGAGGAATAGAAGCTCTTAGAAAATGCCAGGCCCAAACCCCGGAGTAGCCCTGTGGTTCCCCGCCTGCCCCTACACAAGACACCTGAATTCCAGTCTGTGTCTGACCCCATTCCTGTGTTTAGTTTCCCTATATGTAAAATAGGGCCACTGAACAGACACCTTTCAGGGCCATTGGGGTCCAACATTATAGGATTCTAGATCTCATGGCCTTCCTTCTTGACAAAATGCCCACCAGCTTGTTCTCCATGTCACCTGACTCGCCTGAGATTCCCAACTCCCCTGCCCCTAGAGGAAACAGCCCATGAGCTTTGCTTTAGAAAAAAACCTTAGCTCCCTTTTAAATGAGAATCTCTGCACTAAATGGGCTCTAAGGAAGGACAGTCCAACCCATTTATTTATATAAGGGGAAACTGGGGCCATCCCAGAGGCCCCAGAACCGGTGCCTAGGCTATGTAGGCAGGTACCTTCCAGCCAGAGGCCAGCTCAGCAGTGAAGGCCTGACCCACAGGGTGGCGCCAGTGAGGCGTGGACACAGCCAGCAGGCGGCCAGCTCCCTCCCTTGCAGCTGTCCCTCCTCAAAAAGCCAAGCCCCCTCCCCACCCCAGCACCTGCCCCCAGACCTAGGCGCCAGGCACATGGTGAGGGACACCAGGTAGCCATTGGAAACGGCGAAGAGCAGCATGAAGGTGATGAAGTAGGCGTCCTGAGGGAAGAGGATGGGCAGCCGGGCCCGCTCAGGCACGTGGCACAGCATGAAGAGTGGCACGAACAGGAAGCGCAGGCACACCAGCAGGGGCAGCAGCCGGCTGTCCTCATCTGGCTGTGGCACAGGCTCGGTGAGTGCTTCCCCAGGACACCCATGAGAGACCCATCAACCATCCCCCGAACTCCTCTGCCGTGACCTAGGACTGGGGCCTCTAAGGAACAAGGACTGGGCCACGGCTGCCCAACAACCAGGACAGGCCTGGGGCTAGCCTTGGCCTCTCCCTAGCTCTAGTTTGGGCTTTCTCCAGGGAAGAATTGAAGAGGCCTTAGAAAGCATCCCTGGCTTCCAAACTTAGTTCCCCAGGGCATCCCTAGGGGTTCCATATGCTCCTTAGGGGCAGATGGCTTTCTTTTCCTTTAAATTTATTTTATTTTTAAAAAATTTTGAGTTGTAGATGGACACAATCCTTTTTTTTCTATTTTATTTTTATGTGCTGCTGAAGATCGAACCCAGTGCCTTACACACGTGCTAGGCAAGTGCTCTACCACTGAGCTATAGCCCTAGCCCTCTTTTCCTTTTAGTTTTTTAATTGGCACATAAAAGTTGCACATACTTATGGGGTACCATGTGATGTTTCAATTAGGTACACTTCTAGCATTCAAATCGGTGAGCATATCTGTCTCTTCAAGCATTTATCATTTCTTTTTTTTAAAATTTTATTTATTTTTTAGTTATCGGCGGACACAACATCTTTGTTTGTATGTGGTGCTGAGGACTGAACCCGGGCCGCACACATGCCAGGTGAGCGCGCTACCGCTTGAGCCACATTCCCAGCCCCGCATTTATCATTTCTTGGTGGTAAAACCATTCAAAATCCTGTCTCCTAGCTTTTACAAAGTACATAGTACATTATCATCATCTATAGCCACCCCGCTGTGCAACAGAACCCCACAACATATTTTTCCTATCCAAATATAACTTAGTACTCAACATATGACCTCTCCCAGATGGGGTTTCTTAGTAGGCTGGGAAGCTGGAGATCCGGGCCCATCCTGCCTGGATCAGACAGCAATGCTCTGCTGCATTTCTAATGTCTCTAAGGGAGATTTCACTTAGCACCTTGCTAGAAGCAATTTGGAAACAAGGAATCTTGTTCAACCCCTCACCAGGTATAGGAAACTCCACATGACATTCTCTGAACACGGAGGGCTGGGCCCTGGGCTGGACACTGTGGACACAGAGGTCAACTCTGGATGGCTTCCACTTTCGAGAAGCTCAGCCCAGGCTTGCATGTGCCAGAGGCCAAGCGCTTACTGCTGCTTGGCAGGCTCTTTCACTGCAGACCAACAGGACTACTACAAAGTCACTTTTTGCAATTTCGTGCCCTCTGGCCGCCCCCAACTGCTTCCTATAAATTGGCAGCTTGTCCAGCCCAGCTGTGCTCACCCACAGGAAGTATGAGGTCAAGCTCCGCCCCAGCCAGTCCATGACGTTGAAGAGCAGGAAGCAGCAGATAGGGTTGAAGAACTGACCTGGGGGAGACAAAGGGTGGCTCACCCTGGTCCCTGACTCTCCTCTCCTGTCTCCCCCTATCATTTTCTTTACCCCAACACTCACTCCATTTCCCAGGACTGGTGGAGCTGGTCACCATGGCTGTGATGGCAGGGAAGACCGACAGGGTGACTGTGAAGACCAACACAAGGCACAGCGCCGTCAGCCAGATCTGGGAGCCGGAGGCAGGGGTGTGAGCGGGCAGGGCAGCCCCGGCCCAACACGGCCCCAACCTTCTCACCCCAGCCCTGCCCGGGTGCAGGACACCAGGGGCCTGGCCCAGTTGTGTCCATGACCTGCCATGACCCTATGACAAGTGGGATATGAAGACCCCATTCTAGCCTAAGAGCATCTGGTGAGGACTGGAGAGGGTGTCCCACCCTTCTTCCCCAGGAGTGGTGGCTGGGGGTCATCTCCCAGCTGTACCTTCTGGAAGACAATGAAGACTGAAGGTTTTTCTAGCTTCTGGGGCTCATCTAGCTCTGGTTCCAGCTCGGGCTCCTTCTCAGGGTCAAGATCTAGAGTCAGAGTTGCCACCTGGGGGCTGTTGGGAATCCCATTCTTCTCATCTGGGGCAAGAAGGGAGTGTGGGGTCATGTGATCTAGGTCTCCCAACAGTCAGCCCTGAAGGAGGAGGATTCCCAGCAGTTAAAACAAGTGACCCTTCTCCAGCCCAGGGTACCAGCAAAGGGAAGCAATGGTGTCAGTATGCCACCTGTTTATTAAGCCCATGTATGTGCCAGGCAACAAGTTAAGTGTCTCAGATGAGTTGTCCCATTGCCTGCCATTGTTTTGCAAATGAACAAACAGGCTGGAGGAGTGAAGTGGTTTGGTGACTTTTCTAAGGCCACTCGGCTTAGGTGTTGTGAAGCCAGGATTCAGAGCTCGCCTGCAAGAAGCTCCGCTGCCTTCCCATTTTTGTTTTTGTTTTTGGTACTGGGGAGTGAACCCCGGAGCACTTTAGCACTGAGTTATGTCCCCAACCTTTCTCTTGAGTCAGGGTCTCACTAAGTTGCTTAGGGCCTTGCTAAGTTGCTGAGGCTGGCCTTGAACTCAGCCTCTTCATTTTAAAGAGCAGACAACTGAGGCCCAAAGAGCAGCAAGGCATGACTTTAATTTCAGACTTCCCTTTGAGATCTTCCTGTGCTCACCCAAGGCTCTGGAGCAGGTCATGGTGGTGCACACCTACAATCCCAGCGGCTGGGGAGGGTGAGGCAGCAGGTTTCAAAGTTTGAGACCAGCCTCAGCAATGTAGCAAGACCCTGTCTCAAAGTAAAAACAGGGCTGGGGATGTGTTCAGTAGTTAAGCACTGCTGGGGTCAATTTCTGGTACCAAAAATTGAAAAAAAAAAAAGCGAGAGAGTACAAAAGGCTCCTAGGAGCCAGGTTTAGTTAGGGACAGCGTGGAACGCTTCCAGCAGAGCTGGCTCATGCTTCCTCTGGGTATCCCACCTCCTCAGCGAGGTCCTGGGGCTTACCAGCCTGGAGGAGCTCAGCTTTGGTCTCTAGCTCGTGAGTTGGGGACCGTGAGGGCTTCTTGGCCAGGTAGTAGCGGGCAAACTCCTGCAGAAGGATGGAGAGTATCGGGACGGCTAGGTGAGGTGTTTGGATCCCTCCCCACACCACTGGCTTGGAGGCCAGGACACCCCAGTGACTGCACATGGGTCTCTTCTGCCTCCCCTGTGCTCTCCCAGAGCCTCACTCGGGGCTCTGAGATGCCCTGAGATGGGCCCTGGAACCCAATGGCAGACTCACCAGGTGTGGTAGGCTCAGGTAGCACACGATGGACATGAGGATGCCCACACAGGGTGTGATGAAATATCCCAGGGCAGAGGTCTGGGCATCCACACCACCTGCAGAGGAGAAGGGGCTGGTTCTGCAGCTCCCATGTAGCCTCTAACTCCTGTCCTCCTTCCTAGAGTGCACTTCTCAGATGCCCAGCCTCTTCCCTTTTCCTTCACTGACTGAGTCTCATATGATGCCCCAGTCTGGCCCTTCATCCCTCTCTTTTCTCTACATGCCATTTAATATTTTATTAGTTGTTGATGGACCTTTGTTTTTATTTATTTATATGCGGTGCTGAGAATCAAACCCAGTGCCTCACACATGCTAGGCAAGCGCTCTACCACTGAGCCACAACCCTGGCCCTCTACATGCCATTTTTGTTGAGCATCTACTATGTGGCTTTCTCTTACTGCAGGCTCAGTACAATCTCAGCAGGAATTGTAATAATCATTTATGTGGGGAAATTATGGCAGAGAGGTTAAATGCCCCGTCCAATGTGCCCAGCTAGTAAAGGCTGAGATGGATTAAAGCTTGTGTCTATCTCAAACCTACGCCCTGTCCCTTAACCTCAATCTGCTGGCACATATCAGGGTTGACCCCAGGACCCCCTTCCTGGTCATTCTCCCTCACTGCAGAGCCCAAGGGTCTGGCTCCCAGGCCCAATCCCCACTTCTCCATTACTCCATCACCTCTGTCTCCACCAAAAATCCAGGCACCTTCTGCACACCCTCTGTGATCCCAAACCTCAGAGGCCACCCCACACCTCCAGCAATCCAAGTCCACTCACTGGCCATGGACATAAGCATGGCAAGGGCAGCGAAGATCCCAGCCAGGCCCTGGCCGCTGAGGAAGAGGGTGCTGTAGGTGGATGGCATGGTGCCCAGCTGCCCGAAGAGGCTTCCCTGCAGAACTGCACAAAAGGCTGAGGAGAGACAGGGACATGGCTGCCGCTCAATAAGGCAGCCTTAGGGGCTTCTTGGAGGAGGCCTTGGCAGAGCGCAGGGGGACTCTGGACTTGGCTGTACCAGGGTGAGCTGTCCTTGGGACTCTGGACATTCTGCTGCAACATCCCATTCATTCCTCTTCTGAAGCAACCACTGGCCTGTGGGGCTAGGTGCCAGGAGGCCAGCTCCAAGGTCACTGTGGGGCCTGGGACAAAGGGGTTTTCCTCTCCCTCTGGGCCTCAGTTTCCCCATTAGAGATCAGTGGTGCTGTCTTATCTTCTTGCATCTCTTGGGCCCTTTCTGTTACAGGGAGGAGGCAGGGGTGGGGGGCAGAAGTGCTCACAGTTGATGAACCAGACAGAGACCATGGTGATGGAGAAGAAGGGCCCAGGGCTCATGTCCACCTTCACCAACGCTGCTGTCAGGGCGAAGAGCAGCAGGATGCCCAGCAGGCTGCCCAGAATGCGCACCGCCTCAGGGATGCTACTCGGAAAGGGATAGAGAGCATCAGGTGGGCCCCGGCCAGGCAGGGGGTGATGGGCAAGAGGTGCTGCCAGGGGCAGGACAGTGGGGCTGGGAGGGCCAGGCAGGTAGAGCAGGGGAAGGATGGAAGGTCTTCCTGGGCCCAGATGATAGGTACTGCCTTGGCAGGAGATGGGGTCTCACCACTGATACAGGAAGGAGTTGAGGAGTGTGAAGAGCAGCAGAGGCAGCTGGGACAGCAGCGTCACCCAGTTGTTGAAGTTGAAGGTGTCTGTGGGGCCAGTGTGGTTGGTGCTCAGGGTCCCAGCTGTGCTGTTGGCCCCTGCCAGCCGCCCCTGAAAGTACTGCCAGATGGGGAGGAGGAGTAAGGTTAGGCATCCCTAGTCTGTCCCTTTGCCTCCTCCCAGGTGTGTGATTGCTTGGCTAATGCTTTGGGGACTACTTGCCTTATCCCTGCATTGTCCCCAGCACCTGGAACACAGTGGAAACTCTATGGTTATGCCCTAAATTGAATGGCTGGCATATGGAACAGGGCCCAAGCACTAAGAACCCCCAGCTCAAGCCTCCACGCATCTCTGGATCACCCTGATCTTTAGTCTCTAGTCCCCCCAAAGCAGTCTCTAGATTCATTCATTCCGTGGGTATTTACTGAGTATCTACAGAAGTCAGGCTCTGGCTTAGGTGCTGACCCACTGCTTTCTCCCTGGAACATATATCCTGTCACTTCTCTGCTTAAGCGCCATTTACCTTCTACCCACACCTTCGTATTATGTACAGGGTAAACCCCAAGAGTTTGGAACAATATTTAGGACCCTGCAATATCAGATCCCACCCTCCCTTTTGTGTCCCATCTCTCACTCCATCCCACTAAGCACCAGCACCCCAGGTTCTGGATCTTTCTCTGAATAGGCCCTTGTCTCTGTAAGGAATGCCCTCTTTCCTCCTGACCACTCCTCCATCCCCCAACTTTGCCTACCCCACACTCAACTTGTAAATCCTGTGTTCTCCCTCCCCTGAGAACCACAGCACTCTGATCCAAGCCTGGGAAGGCCCCTGTCACCTTACATTATTAATGGCTCTGACCCATCTTATTCTCAAGACCAGAGACTGATTCATCTTTGGGCCTCTGGGGTCCAGCACAGAGCACATCTGCAAAGTTACTGCACTGAATATAATAACCCAGGCTTAAAAAGAATGCAAAGTCCACACTTCTGCCTTCCTTTCAGAGAACCAACACTGAGGATAGACTCTTCTCCCTCTGGTATGGTTTCTCTTTATTCCTAGTGGCTGGTCCACGTAGGAGCACATTAAATGTTTGCCTAATGTAATTAATTCTATTGTAAAGAAAATCAGAGGCTTGGATTACCCACTTTTGGAGTGACTGGACCAGAAATAACGACAGAGGAGGTGGGTGTTTAGCTCTTTTGCTGGTCCTAGACCCTCCCCCCGCCCCGAGCTGGTGGGCATTCCCCAAAGTTTGGCCTTCTCAGCCATGAGAGAGGTATTTCCGTTCTCTGAGGAGCCGTGCTTCGGCGAGCGAATGGGCATAGTGAGGAGTTTAAGGCAGCATGGGGAAAAAGCGCTCGGTGAGCCTCAGTCCGGGGCGGCTGGAGGGATGGAGGGTGTTGTGGCCACCGGGCTGTCTCACCGGGATGGCGGTGATGAAGAAGTTCCAGGGAAGGAGGGTGCCCAGCCCCAGGATGAAGAAGCTGATCCCGACCAGGTGGTAGCTGTGGAGATCAGTGAGAAGGTCACCCCAAGGCCTCCTGCCGGGCCGCCCCCCCGCCTCCCAGGCCGTCCTCCGGAGAGCGTACTACAACCCCCATCACCCCCGCGCAGCAGCCGAGGGAGTCGGCTGATGGGAATTGTAGTCCAATCCATCTTCTACGAACCCCGGCGTGTCTAGGGGAGCGGGATTGTTCTGACGACCGCCACCCGGGCCCCAGGACACATGGCACCGGGTTCCCATCTCACCTGTCCTGCGGAGCGTCTCCTCGCGCCATGGCCTTGGCAACGGAATGCACCGGGATGGGAGCGCAGAGGGGAGGCTGCACCCGCTCCTATGCGGGGCCGGAGGCCGGAGGCCGCGGGGACTGGGGGCCGTTGTCCCCGAACCCGAGTGCGGGCTGCTGGAGGTGGGGTGGGAACTCCAGGAGGATTTCCGCGGGTCTCAATCTCCACCGGCTCGGGCCTTAGCTCCGCCTCCGGGGCGGGGACAGAGGGTCGCACCACCTTCCTCCGCACCCCAAACCTTGGGCTCTTTTGGGGCGTTGTACCGAGTCCTACCTTAGGGTCTCCCTACCGGCCAGCCCACACCACCAGTGTGGCTTGGGGCAGCTGACCCGATGGGTGTCGCCGCCGCACCTCTCCGCAGCCCCCTGCCTTGCCCGCGGGCGTTGGTCCTGGATCCCTGCGTCTAGGGAGGGAAGGAGAGCGTCCCTCCCACTCCCCCGCGGAGAGCTCTGCGGTCCCCCTGGACCGGACTTTTCTTCTCTTCGCAGGCTGCGATGCTGCAGAAGCCGCGTTTGCGCCCCCTAACGTTGGGGTGCACCCGGGGCGCCTCTGCAGAGCCCCGTCCCAGGGCATAACTCGAGCTGGGCCAGCGCGCGGGAAAGCAGGAGCCTTCGCATGTCGCTTGTGGTCCTGGCAGGCTGCGCGGAGTTGGGTCCCCCCGAGGCCGAGGAGCGGGCTGGATACCCAAGCTGGCGGAACCCCCAGGCGGATCTGAAAGACAGGCAGACAGACTAGCCTTCTCCAGCAGGTGCCTAGGGAAGCGCCCGGCCTTTGGGCCGAACAGCCGAGGTGCTGGCCCTGCTGGGGCGCCGGGGCGGGCTTCCAGGCCGAGGTGAGCTGAGCCGCGTTGGGAGGCGTGAGTGGTTCAGCAGAGGCTGGGAGAGAAGGGTGCCCCGGAAGTGCGCTCCCTCCCCGCGCGCTGTGTGCTTAAATACGTTGCCTTCAGCGGTCTACATCACATCTCATCAAAATGAAGATGCAGCCACATCCCGCTCTTGTTTTCGTGGGAAAACTTTGAAAAGATTCCAAACCATTGCAGTTTCGAAATTGGTTTGCTTGGTCTGTCTCATAATTTATAAATGGGTGTGGTTTCTCTGGGATGCTGGAGAAGCTAGAGGCTCTAAAGCACAGATTGTTTTCATAAGAAACGACATTTTGTAACCATCTCCAGATTACTTGTATTTTTCCTGCAGCCACCTGTGGATCTGTGGGGCAACCACTGTGTTTGTCGGGTTCACGGCTTTATTACTACCATCCTTCCCCCCCCCCCCCCCCCCCCCCCCCCCCCGTGGCGTGGGATGAATGCTTGGTGACAAATAGATTGGATTGCAGTGTTCTGCAGGGGAGTTTAGGGAGACCGGGGACAGCATTGGATTACACTAAGAGAAAGTTACTCTCTTCAGTTTTCTTCCAAGCTTCCGAATATATCAAAGGGGAAAGTCTCAGTTCACGTTTTTTAGCACCCTCTAAATACTCCCACCACACAGGGACCTCAGCACCTGTCTTAACAATTCTATCTAAATACAAGTTAATAACTTTCATTTTCCTTATATTTATTCTTCTACTTATTTTAGGGCTGAAGTACTGATTTCCTATTTATGACAGTGATATAAAGTTTTCTTTGAAAAAAAAATCAGTATATTTATGAAAAATGAATCCTTTAAAGAAAATAAGCGTGACTGCAGATGAGGACAGCTCTGCCCGAGTCTCGAAGGCAGGACGTGAAGAATGGAGTTTTGGGCAGCAGTGCATCTGTGAAGGGAGAGAACAGTCTGTACCAAGATTGGGCACAGGAGACGGCTGATGCATGCTGGGATATATGATAAGTGCCTTTGGATCAGTGCCTTTGGCTGGCACGTGAGGAGGGAATAGAGCTTGTCCAAAACAGGCTGAAGGCTGAGCGTGGAACTGGGATTCCAGCTCACAGGCTCAGTCACGCTTGTCAAAAGCAATATTTTGTTACTATCCTGCAGTAAATTTGTGAACAGCAAAACCCACCCATGAAAGATTTTCACGTCAATATAATATCCCAAGTGTACAACAGAAGATAAATTTTAAAAAGCCTTTAGGAATAAAATAATATGTATGTGAATATGTTAACGCTCAAGACACATGAAGCTGTCAAAACACGTGCCATAGAGGCATGTGCTGAAACCAGTAAAGATCACTAACTTGCTGATGGTGATGTGATATTCTGCAATACTGACCAAGTCTTGGCAAAGTTCCAAGCAAAACAAAGAGCAGCTGTCCCTCTACAGAGATAGTAAGTAGCTGAGTTACTGGAAAATGCTGTGTATATTTAACCTTATAAATAATACATTGTGTCCATATGTCAACTGGACTTACAGTCCAGGCTCAGAAAATGATCAACATGGTTTTTTTTAAAAAAAGAATATATTTTATTTTTAGTGCAGTTTTAGATTTACAGAATACATGAGCAGATACTACAGATTTCCATATATGCACCCCAACCTGCTTTCCTGTATAATTAATGTCTTGTGTTAATTGGATACTTTTGTTACAATTAATGAACCCATATCCATACAGTATTATTCACTAAAGTCTTCTTTCTTTGGGTTGCACTTTATGTGGGTTTGAGAAATGCATAGTGTCTTGGATCCACCATGACAGGGTCCTACAGAATAATTTAACCTTCCTAAAACCCCTTGTGTGTCACTTATTCATCACCCCTTCCTGCCATCCCCTGAGTACCTGGCAACCACTGCTCTTTTTATGTCTCTAAGTTTGGCCTTTCAAAATGTCATATAGTCGGAATCATATAGTATGTAGCCTTTCCAGACTGGCTTCTTTCACTTAAGGTTTCTCTGTCTTTTCTGGCTCAATATTTCGTTTCTCTGTATTACTAAATAATATTCCATTCTGTGGATTACTACAGTTTGTTTATCCACTCTCCTATTTCAGGACATCTTGGTTGCTTCCACTTCTTGGTCATCATAAATAAAACTGCTGTAAACATTTGTGTACAGGTGTGTGTGTGTGTGTGTGTGTGTGTGTGTGTGTGTGTGACAACATAAGTTTCCAACTCAATTGGGCAAATACCCAAGGGCACTGGGGCTACATCATATAGTAAGATGGTTTAGTTTTGTAAGAATCTGTCAAACTCTTCCAAAGTGGTTGTACCACTTTGTGTCCCCCCTAGCAATGAGACAGTTCTTGTCCCACATCCTCACGGGCTTTTAATGTTGTCTATGTTCTAGGTTTTAGCCATTTTAATAGGTGTGTAGTATTATCTTGTTTTATTGTAAGTGCAATTTTTATTTTTATACTGGGGATTGAAACCAGGGGTGCTTTACCACTGAGCCACATCCCAACCCTTTTTTACATTTTATTTAGAGACAAGGTCTCGCCGAGTTACTTAGGGTCTTCCTAATTTGCTGAGGCTAGCCTTGAATTCATGATCCTCCTGTCTCAGTCTCCAAGCCACTGGGATTACATGCATGTGCCACTGTACCTAGCTTATGTACATTTTTTATTAGTGCATTTTAATGGGTGTCATCATGGAATATTAGTACATGGGGATATAATACCATTTCCATTACCTTCCTTTACCTTCACCTTTTCCTACCTTGATCCATTTACTCTTTAATAGTCTCTGTTACTTGCATGTCGTCTTTTCCCCATAGATTTCACATGGGGGGGGGGGGAGGAACATGCGATAGTGGTCTGAGTCTGACTTTGTTTGCTTAACATTATGATTTCCAGTTTCATCTATTTTACTATAAATGATTTTCTTCTTTTTTAAAATATTTTTTTAGTTGTAGTTGGACACAATATCTTTATTTTATTTATTTTTATATGGTGCTGATGATGGAACCCAGTGTCTTACATGTGCTAGTTGAGCACTCTACCCCTGAGCTACAACCCCGGCCCCATGATTTTCTTCTTTATGCTGAATAATATTCTATTGTGTATATATACCACATTTTCTTTATCCATTCATCGGTTGAGGAACCTTTACATCATACAACTGTATTCATGTATTTAACATGCAGGAGCCCAGAAATAGGGTACAATTTTTATGTACCAGTTTTTACAAAACGAACAACCCTATTTAAAAACAGGCAAAAGGGAGCCAGATGTGATGGCACATACCTATTTGGGAGAATGAGGCAGGAGGATCACTTGACCCCAGGAGTTTAAGGCCAGCCTGGGAAATATAGCCAGACCTCATTTCTTTAAAAAAATGAAAATGGACCAAAGACCCAAGGGACATTTCATCAAAGAATATCCACAGAGGGCAGTAAGCATGCAAAAAAAGGCTTATCATCATATGTCATTAGGAAATTGCAAGTTAAAACAAGATCTTCGAGAATACAAAAAACAATAAACACTAGCATGGATGTGGGGGGAAGGAGCCCTCCTCCACTGCTGGTGAGAATGTGAATTAGCACAGACACTATGGAGAGGCGCCTAATGCACTGTGCTGAGATAAACCTGGAGATGCAGGCATTGCCACAGTGTGCTGACTTTAACTCCTTCTGGTGTTGCCCAGGAGGGCTATATCTGCATCCCATGGTGGTTCCAATTTAGTTCCTTGAGGAAACTCCATACTGTTTTCCACGGTGTCTGTGCTCTGGCAGCCAGAAAGCAAGGGAGAAGAGGAGTGAGCTGGGACCCAAGATCCCCTTCCAGGGACACCCCCAATTACCTAGCTTCCTCCCACTAGGTCCCACCTCCTAAAGATCCACCACCTTCCAAAAGCACCATGGGCTGGGGACTAGGCCTTTAGCATGTGAGCCTTTCAAGGACGTTCAGAATCCAAACTGTAACACCAAATGATTTTTTGTTTGCTTGTTAATTCAGACTTCATGGAAGTACAATTTGCTTTATTAAAAAATTGACCATTTTTTGAGATTCATTCATAATGATAGATGTTACTATTCATTCATTCACAGTTTAAAAATGTATATTAGTCCACATTTCATGACTCTTGTTGGATGCATGTTGCAGGCACATAGCTCATTTTCAATTGTATTCTACTATTAGCAATGCTGCTCTGAATGACATGGTGCCCTTGACATATCTACCCTGCACCTGTACAGAATTGTCTATGTACAGGGTCTCTCAAC